TTTGATGCTTGTATCTGACATGAGAAGTGCCATAGAATCATCCCTACACATCACTATGTTAGATAAAGCAATAGCCATGGAGCCACAGTGGAGTACAGGACCGTCAGTCGGCCGTTCTCCCTGCATGGTGTAGGAAACCCTCACACAGCTTGGCCAGTAATATGATATGCTTCTCTTGAGGAGTGTGATTTGTACAAAGATCTTCGAACCACTTGACTTTAAAAATTTGATTCTTTTCTAAAGGACAGGTTAACTAAATAAAAGCTGCTCTACAATTAAAGTGTAAATACTGTTCAGTGAGCCTTGAATGCGGCAGTGCAGCTGAAGAGGGAGACAGAGGTGAGCCTGTGATGATAACCCTTGGTCTCCGCGGTGGCAGAGAGGGCGGGAAGAAAGCCGCATCTCTCACATGGGAGGTAAAAATGGTCTGTGCCCAAAGCGAAGCCTTTTTGGCCATCTAGGAATCCCCAGCTTTGTATTTTCTCCTTCCCATGGAAAGGGCCTTGCTGCTGGCATTCCCAGCCACTTTTCACAGAGCCCTGGGCAGCTGTCTTTTAGTACAGAGGCCTCCTGGGGAACGACTGTCACGTAAGGACGAGACACGCAGCTACAGTACTGCATTGTCTGTTCTAGCCTTTCATTTACAATATGAGCCTGTAATAGAAGATTAGAAGAATTTTGAAGAAAGGCATTGATATGAAAGATTAAATCAGCAAAGTAAATGATGGAATTCAAAACAAGAGAGAACAAAATAAAAGGTGGTAAGAATATCCTCAGGGGGATTCAAGAAGCTATTGCATCTGAAACATGAAGAAGCACCCATAAAAATCACCAACTAGAAAACAAGACAGTACTTAGAAATTAACAATATAATTTAAAAATTCAATTACGGGGTTAGTAAGAGTAGTATAAACATGGCTGAAAATTAAGTTAATGATCCGGAAGATGAAGTCAAGAAATTTTCAGAGAACATAGATCAAAAAGATGGAAGCATAACAATAAATTGGACAACAGAGCCAAAGAAGTCAACATCCATCATACAGGAATTTCATACAGAAATTCATATAGAAAAGAGTAAAAAGAATGGTAATGAAAGGAACAATTAAACAAAAACTCGAGTAGGTTTCAGAACAGAGTATACAGAAATAATGAAAGAAATAGATAATAGGTTATGGCCAGGGATTTAGCTCAGTGGCACAAGCCCCCCCAACAAAAGATTATAATTTTCCAAAGATAAAGAAAGATTGATTTCTTTAGAATAAAAATACTCACTGGATGTTTAGTTGGAATAAAACAAAAAAAATTACAGGCTAAGAAACATACTGGTGAAATTTTATGATTACAAGATAAACACTAGTCTTTAATATTTTCAGAGCAACAGAAAAATCATATTATTTCCAAAGACATAAACATATTTTCATCAAATGTTTGAAATGTTGATTATGCCAAGACAATGGGACTGGTTTTTAAAATTTCAATATATTCTGAACCCAGAATTCTTTAAAAATATGAAATATCACTCAAATTTGGAACAAAATGAAGACTCTTTAGGGGTATTCAGACAATTAATATGTATGCACCTCTGTAAATTTCTGTCTGTGTCCTGAAAATATTCTCCTGAAAAAAATAATATTCATTCCAGTAAAATTTAAAAAGCAATCTAAGAAAGAAAGAGTACGATGTAAAATTTAAGAATTTGTAATAACAAAATAATAACAATTGTAACTGTGAACCAAGCTGAGAAATAGTCTCCTAAAAATTGAAAGGATAGCAAAATAATAGGTAAGCATCTGGAATTAATCAAATTACAGATTATTTTAAACATTGCTGGATTTGGAAAGAAGGAATCTTGTTTGGAAAGAGTAAATGATACTGATTAATTTTTCAACAGGTTAGAAAACTTGTTCTATTAGTTGTGTATATTCTAAATATAAGTGTATGAAGATAATAAATTAAGTATATCAAATTATAAACAAAGGGAAAATATGAACAGATATTTGATCAGTCTACATGAAGACCTGAAAACAAAGAGGATATAAAGTGTAATAAACAAAATGCACACAGAAGATAATGGTAAAAAGACCAGTTTGATAACATACCTGTACACTATTGTAACTGAGTTAAAATTTACCCTGAAACATTGAGATTATATAAGATGGTTATACACTTTTAAACAAACTAAATATCCAAGTATATGCTTTTTGTAATAGGCATCCTAAAAATGAAAATAATTATTTTGAATTTAAGGTTTAGGTAAAAATTGCCATAGGCAACCTGTAACCAAAAGAAGGTCAAAACATTAATGTAAAACAAAGTGGAATTTAAAGTGAAAAGGTAAAATGAGACAGAGAATAATATTGCATACTGATTTTTTAAAAAATTTGCAGTTTATTAATCATCTCATGAAAAATTCACATAATCAGCACAGATAAAGTTTATGGCAGAATCTTTATTCCTTCTGCTTTTTTTGCTAGAACTAACAGTGGCATTTGCAGCCCCCTTATATTTTTTCATTTGGTACTTCCGTGCCTTTCACTGTTTTCTTGAGATATTTTCCTTATGCAGACCATGTCTTATCTATGTTTGGATTCTTTTTTTTTTGTATAATCCCATTATTCATAAATCATTCTAAAGCCGGTTGTTTTGCCATCACCAAAATGTGTCCTAAAGTGAAACACAAAGATAACATCTGATGTGATATTAAATATTTAGGCTAATTTTGCCCAAATTCCTGTTGTCTTCTTGAGTGTTTTTCTGAAGTAGTCAGTTGCTCATGAACTTGCTGGTCTGGATAGCTACTGTGTCTTTCATGATGGTAGCTGATCTTTGTGTACCCGGAGGGGGAGATAAAAGTGCTGTACTGAAAACTTACAAAATTCACCAAAAAAATGTTATGGCTGTGTGTCTTCCCAGATCAGTGAAAGAAGCACTGGCGTAAATAGTCTTCTACCTCAATAATGTTCTGTTGGGGTAACAAGAAATTGACCAACTCAGAGGTAGAAGTCTCCACTCAGAGATCTCTCTTTCTTTTTTAAAGAGTAGATTTGGACTTTGTTTTTATGAGTACATGTTTGCAGTATGTATTTATTACATTTAACATGTGGAGTTGGTATATAACTCAATAACACAACTTAATTTTTTCCCGTCCTCTACCCTTTCCATTCCACTCTGCTCCTTCCAACTCTTGGTCCTCTTCTTATTTGCAAAAGCTGTGTTTCCATTCTTTTGATTTTTTCCATTCTTTTTCTCTCTCTTTCTTTTCCCTTCCATCTCTTGTTTCCCATCCCATTTGAGAACAGTCTCTCTACTTCCTATTATTACTATTATGTATCTTTTATTTTATTTATATTTGGGGTTTCTCATGTAAGAGAAACCATGCAATATTTAAGGTTGTGTGTGGGTTTATTTCACAACATTTAGATGCCATCATACTCCAGAAAGAATGGCTATCATCAATAAATCAAATAATAACAAATGCTGGTGAGGCTGTGGGAAAAAGGAATCCTTCTACATTGTTGATGGGAATGTAAACTAGTACAAGCACTGTGGAGATCAGCATGTAGATTATTAAAAAACAAATTCCTCTTGATCCAGCTATTCTCTTTCTAGATGTCTTCCTAGGAGTTAAAGTCATCCTGTTACAGTGACATGCATACTTATGTTTATAAAAGCCCAACTTATAATAGCTATATCTTGGTATCAGCCTATATGACCATTCACAGATGAATGGATAGAGAAGGTATGATATTTATTACACACAATGGAGTACTACTCTGCTATAAAGAATGATGCATTTGAGATATTTGTAGGTAAATAGATGAGCCTCGAGAAATCCCTGCTATAATGTTTCCAGGTTTGGTGTCTTGCCTAGGTCCTTGATGTCCTAACAAAGTACTGAGCAGAACACCTAAGCATAATATCAAAACTGATTCTTTTGAAAGAGAAAAGACAAGATGCACTCTACAGAGTGAGAGTGGGCCAGCAACAAGAGCACATGGCAGCTGGGAGCTTGGTGTGTTGAGGGTGTTAATCTTTCGGGCTTGGCCTCTTTTTTTTTTTTTTTTTTTTTTTTTGTCGTTTTCCTTTTTATTGGTACTGGGAATCGAACTCATGACTGCCTGCTTGCAAGGCAGGCGCTTATGCCGCTGAGCTAAATCCCCAGCCCCCGGCTTGGCCTCTTGTGTCCCTTTAGTGAACTCTTGTCTGTGTATGAATATTCTTTGGCTGCTTTTTTCTTACACTTTTCTATGTTGGATAGAATGGACATTAGAGCTGTGTGTGTGTGTGTGTGTGTGTGTGTGTGTGTCTTCCAAGGAGCCAGAGTCAGGAGGGCTCAGTTTTGAAGTTTCAGAATGAAACGGGTGGGGGGTAAATGGGAGGCTTCTTTAAAAACAGTGGTTTTTTTTTTTTTTCCCTCATCAGTATGCCATTTGATCCTGAATGTGACTCTAGCTGCATAGATTTCATGAACATTCATGGTATTGGTGTGACCTTAATAGTCTGCTCATAATTATTTTAGATCAAGTCATGTGGCTCAAATTTCTAGGTTTTGGTTTCAGCCACCACTAGCAAGCAAGTCACTTTCTTTCTCTAAGTCTCAGTGAACTTGCCTTTCAGTAAATAAGAGTAAAGGCAACACCTATCAGGCTCTTTTCCTTCTTTAAAGACTTATGTTTATATCGCATGATGTTTACTCACAGTTTACTGATCCTTTTTGTAAAATCCAGTATTGAGAGAAACATTTTTGTGACACATTTTTTTGGAGTGGGCAAAATCGCTTCTTATCCTTACACTTACCAGATCTTTAGAAGAATAAAAAAAAAGTTTAAGGGTGTGATAGTGTAGTGATTGAAAGGACAGGTGTCACCTGTGTCTCAGAGTTATCTGGTATCCTCTCTGTCTTTAGATATCAGCAGTTTTGAGTCTGTGGTTGCTCTGAACCAATATCTCTTGGGTGTCTCAATCTCTTCCCTTACACATGTGGCCTCTTCCTTCTGCAGCTGCATTGCAGGCACTAAAAAGGAAGAAGAGGTTTGAGAAGCAGCTGTCTCAGATCGATGGGACCCTTTCCACCATTGAGTTCCAGAGAGAAGCCCTGGAAAATGCTCACACCAACACCGAGGTGCTAAGGAACATGGGCCTTGCAGCAAAAGTGATGAGAGCGGTTCATGAAAACATGTGAGTGACATTGGTAACCCTTCCATAGAAATATCCTCAGCATTGGAAAGGCCTTTGCAATTACCGATGAATTTTGGTGGAATGGGCTCAGTCATCTGAAGCTTTTTGATTTATCAAATGCAATGCTTTCTTGGGAAAGTTGGAGGTTGCACTGACAACACATAAACAAAAAACACCCATGGAAAATAGAATTTGCAATGTTTCTCAGTTTCCTCGTGACAGTCTGAAACTTCACCTCAGCATGCTTTAACTTTATAACTCTAAAAAGTCTTCATTACCAACCTTGGTGAGGATGTTAGCACTGTAGGAAAGTGGTTGCCAAAACTTTGATGGGAATCAGAATTGTCCCAATAAAGAACCGATGAAGAGAATGAAGTTGACTCTTTGAACTAGGATAGTTTTGGCTTTGTCATTTTTAACCAAATTACCAAGTGATTCTGATTCTATCCCATGACTGAGAGCCACCGACCCAGAAATAGTTATCAGGATCCACTTTCTACAGTTCAGGGATCAAACTGTGTAGTTAATGTTCCCCGCTCTATAGCTGATTATTCATTGGTCAGATTACTTTGCCTCACTGTGATCTAATTTCCTTATGTGTACATTGGTGATAATAATACTACTTTGTGTGGTTGCTGTGAAGTTTCATGAGATACTAGACAGAATAAACTGAGCAGAGTTCCTGTTACAAAATCTCTCTGCTCGGTATCCATGTCTGTGGTGACCATGGTGTAGATGAAAATGCCTGGGACCCGATCCTTTCTTGATATCAGAAATGATAGTGGAATGTGGGCCAGGACTGCCAAAAAGCCGTGAGAGACTGAAGGGTGCAGACCACTTTTCATAGGTTGGGAAAAGATGAAAAAAGAGAGAGGCTAGGATGATGAAAATAACCTTACCAATATTTTTTCCTTGATAATTGATTAACAAAAGCCACCATTTTGGCAATTTTAGAGAAGGCAATTAGGTTCATCATCAGACTCAAAATCCTCTATCTCTGCTGTAACCCAGGGGTTGAAATGTGCCACAGTGTTGGCCTTCCTTCCTAGGTAGGTCACCACCCTCATACCATTGCACCCCTTCTGAGGAAAATTCACTCCCAGCTCCAGACGTTAGCCATACGTTTCTCTTATTCTTTTTAATTAATACAATCGCTGTACATATAATAGTAAAAGTTGGAGGCACCTGGTGGTAGCAGAGTGGTGTAAGTATTCTTCTTGATTACTATATAAAAATGTGTTGAAGTATGTGGCTTTTATAGTAAACAGAGCCTGAGAAACAAAAAGATTAGTTCCACTGGGACTCAAAGTTTCAGTGTTTAGGTTACTTAGTAATAAGGGAAGCTGGTACTTTTCTCCTATCGCATGACTCTGGCTTACTTGCAGAGTTGGGGGAATGATTCAAGGCACAGAGTTATAGAAACAGCTCAGAACATGGCTTTCAGACACCAACATCCTGATGGTGCCAGAGGGTCTCAGGCACCAGGAATCGTTGTTGAAGTAGCTGTCTGTTGTGTGGCTGCTTGGATCACTGTGCTGTGGTCACTGATTCTTCTGAGAATTAGGGGACCTGATCCTGCTCTCTGTAGTAACCTCTCAGGACATCACACCACTGTTGGAGACCCACAGGGAACCAAGAACCTCAGGCTCGCTAGCTCTTAGAGAAATAGATCTCTAGTTCCAGAGTTTAACATTTCTAAAGGCCTGCTTTCAGAGTGGCTACTGAAAGCTGCCATACTTGTGTTGATCATGGTGGTCTTTGGTACCATGTTTCCCAGAGGAAATACACAGCAGCACATTTAAATTTTATATATGCCATGCCAAATTTTCAAAATGGTTCTATAAATATTGTTAGTTATAAAATAATTTGATTTCTATTGACTCTCAACAATAATGGCTACTTATTGGTATTTAATATGCAATTGCCATGCGTGGCAGTGCACATCTGTCCCAGCTTGTAGAAGGCTGAGACAGGAGGATCACCATGAATTAGGCCAGCCTGGGATACATAGTGAGTTCAAAGCCAGCTTGAACTGCATGGTGAGACCCTGTCTTTTAAAAAAAATGTGGATCTATGGGATTATTAATTTTTAATGCAAATTATTTTTAAAGTATTATCACCAGGGTTTTTTTCTTACACTACTTAAATTATTGGAGTTTACATTGACTCATTTTTCTAAATTCACTATTGTAAGCTGAAATCCTGAAATGTTTCAACATAATATTATTTCCCAGGGATCTGAACAAAATTGATGATTTGATGCAAGATATCACAGAACAACAGGATATTGCCCAAGAAATCTCAGAAGCATTTTCTCAAAGGGTTGGATTTGGCGATGGCTTTGATGAGGTGGGTAACAATATAAACAGGGTGGTACTGTGGCTGTCATAAAGCATAGCTTCCTATAATACAGTTGTCGGTTTCCTTTATTACCTAGAGAATAAATGTTAGTTGTTGGAAATGTGCTTCTCTTAGGAGGGAAATGAAATGTTAGTAGCTCTGATTTAAAAGAAAGATTAATATAGTTTGGCAAACAGCCTCCTAATTAAGTTTTCGGCTATTAAAGGAAAAGCAGCATGTGATTAAAGTTAGTGACTTAATGGTGGGAGCCTAAATAACCCCATTATAAGGAGTCACATGCTAGCACATCTGGGCAAACAAAGCAGACTGTGTCCATCTGCAAAGAACAGACGTACCGCGCTATATAGCTTTAAAATTAGAGGTTAGGCTGCCTCTGTTTATGACTCAGGCTATGAAACAGAACAAATGTGGAGTGGCATTATTAACACACATTCCGTTTAGATTAATCAAGTCTGATAATACACTCTGTAATTATAATGATGGCGTCTACACTGTGAATTTCAATTGTTCTGCTCAAAGCTTACACAAGTAGCATTAGGACACATTTAGAAGCCTTTCCCAATGTTGGAGTAGCATAGAGAAGAATCGAACTTTCTGCTCTTATTATATATCTAAGAAGTAAATACGTGTTCCCTTGGAATCCTAGAAGATGAGAATTTATTGTTCACAACTTTTAAAAATGGATTGGAGACTGGGCATGGTAGTGTATACCTATAATTCCAGCACTCTGCAGGCTGAGGCAGGAGGAACACTGTGAATTCAAGGTCAGCCTGGGCTACAAAGTGAATTCAAGGCAGCCTAAACTGCCTAGTGAGATCCTATCCCCAAAAGACAAAAAATAAAATAAAAGGTTTGGGGTTTGGCAAAAGAGGGCTTGTAGTTCAAATCATTCTACAGTGAGAGATGACAATGATTTTCACCATTTTAAAGTGTAGAGAACAAAAATAAAGACCACGTGACAGAGGAACATATTTGACCTCTGAAGCCTAAAATGTGACTTTCTGGCCATTCATAGAAAAACTTTGCCAGCCTTTGGTGTAGACTATAACGCATCCAATGAGGGCATTATGATATGGTGGGAAGGGCCTGGAAAGACGAAGACATCCGAATTTTACCAGTTAGTAAAAACTCAAAAAGAAGTCCGTTTAGTTTTCTGACTTAGTTTTATCGCCTATAAACTAGAGACAATTGGATCATTGGATTATCTTTAAAAGTTCTTAAGTTCTGCAACTCTGTTATGATGATTGAATAAGTGTTTGGTATCCAAAAGCCAAAAATGATGGAGATGACTACTCTGTTGTCATATGTGCAAAGAAAAATCAGTATCTTTCTGGTGCTGTTGATAAATATCAAACACTATATTGGAAATTCTGGTCAAGCGTTCAACATAGGATACCTTATTCTGCCATTAATATGGTTTGTATATTTCTTCCTAATTGTTTTGTGAGCAGAAATAGAACATCAGAAAATTTATCCTATTATTTTGTTTATATAACTTGTGGAAACTACAAAACACATACTTATTCTGTCTATGCTATTTCACTGAGACCATGCACCTTCATACTTTATTTTCATTTCACGTGACTGATTAAATAGAAGTCAGATAATCAGGTAATGTTGCAAAGTTGATACTCACTGACTTGATCAATGAGTGGGTGACTTAAATATATTCTGTCTTGCTCCATGGTGTTATAATTCTCCCTTTAATATATTTGTTTATATGCCTTTAGTCCCAAATTCAAGCATTAGCTGATTGAATATGGAGAGTATTGATTCAATGCTGCACCCTCAGTGATGAGTTCAAAACCTTCCCAGGATAGGGATCTTAATAAATTTGTTATGACTGAATGAATGAAGTGTTTACTTGATAGAATGTAAGTGTTTATTCATTTCTCACTCTGACCTTTCTCAGCATGTCAACCACAGAAACCTGTGATGACAAATTTAGTTTTGACTCCTGGAGGGAGTTGGTCTCCACTTGAGGACTTAGAGGCAGGTCTATATGAACTAGTTCAGGTCATCTAAGGTGACCTACATCCTGAAGATCTTAAACTGGTATTACCTTTCTGTGTTTTATTGGGCAAATAATCATTTTAAAATAAACTCAACTCACCAGGATCATTTTTAATAGAGAAAATACATTATATCTACACGAAATTGAAGTTTTATTGCCCAAATGCATGCATGATTTATACTGACTTCAATAGTTTGACAAAGGAGACAAAGTACCTTTGATTCTAGTTTCTATGCCTTATGGTCTTGCTATGTTTGTTTTTTCAACATTAGCCCAAGTAAAAATATTTATTTTCTTTAATTAAAGTTTCACAGATTGTTAACAGGAGAAAAGAACATATTGGAAAAATGACAGGCAAGGTGTGAATTCTCCAGAAACTGAAGAGATTACACATTCAACTAGAACAAATTACTTGAATGGCTGTTTGCTGAAGTATTATAAGATTAACTACAACAAATTTGCACAACCAAAAATATTCACTTTTTAATCATTGCTCAGTGTTGCAAAAAAGACTTAGTTTCAAAATAAATATTCCATTTCACTAGGTTCTCACATATCAATTGAGTAGCAGATGTTCTTGTTATTGTGTTTAAGGAAACCAACTTCTTGAAACATTAACTGTCTAATTCTTCCTTTCTCCTACGCTCAGGATGAGCTGATGGCAGAACTTGAAGAATTGGAGCAGGAGGAATTAAATAAGAAGATGACAAACATCCGGCTTCCGACCGTGCCTTCGTCTTCTCTCCCAGCACAGCCAGATAGAAAGCCCAGCGCACACCGGTCCCGTGCAGGTCTGATATGCAAACCCACTGTACGAGTTCTCATAGTACTCAATGTACGAGTGCTCAAGCAATAGACGGGCTCATCCCATTATGCCCTTCTTTATATTTTGATTTCATAAGTGAACACATTTTTATACATGATTCGTCCTGTTTTATGTGCTGAAAATGTGAATAATTTCAGTGACTAATTTTCATCACTTTTATATTCCAGCATCTTCCAAAAGGAAAGAAGAGGAAGATGATTTCAATGAACTGGCAGCTTGGGCTTCTTGTTAAACTAAGATGGACTTTTTGGATACACATGAGTGAACTATATACATGAGATGTAAATTTTTTTTTTTTTTTGCCAAGTTCAGAAGTTAACCAAGACCCTACTTTATATTTACACTTGATGAATAATTATCATTTAAGCTTCATAATTAAAAACAAAGAAAGGAGTCATGTGTAGACATAGGATCAAGGACAGGAAGGGCATTTCAGTGTAGAGGATCCCTCCATGTGGGGGGGCTGGGGGCTGTGTGGATCTACTGTGTCACAACTGTCTTTCCAGTCTCCGCATGCAGTTGATACTTTCTATGTGATTGTTGGAAGAAAACGAAAGTTCTTACTGACATAGCAGACACACAACAGTTTAAAGTTGTTGTTTAAGGATACATTTTGGAAAGCTGGGGAAAATTTCCTGACTATGTAACTGCAAGTTTCCTGTGTGTATTCATGTATCTCTTTCAGGGGAGACTTCTTGCTCAGAAGTCTCTTTTGTTTAAGTCTACATACATATAGTTTCAGTTGAGTTTTGCAATTTAAAACCTTAAAGGAGCTTTAATTGACATTTATTATGCCAATTAGGCTTGAAATGGGGCAATGGGTGCGTTTTCCAAGATGTCTGAAAGTACTAACAGCTTACACTGCTGAACAAGGGTCTCCCGGGTGTAATTTAGCCACTTAGGGAGCTGCATTAACACTTCCAGGCCATTATGATGCTGTTCCAGCTTCAGTGTACTAAATGTGTTTCGTGCTCCTTATTAGTTTTTTTTTCACACTTTACAACATATACTTTGAAAAATATATTGGCATTTAACCATATATCTTGAATAATATTTTTCCATTTTGCTTTAAAATCAGAATAAATTGTACAGTTATATATTACTGATAATATATCATAGCGCACAAATGGCAAGTATCATTAGAGAACATGCTTTAGTGTTCTCTGCATTTGCTTAGCAATGTGGCGGAATGAATGGAATGCTGGATCTAAAGGTAAGAAGCCCTGCTTTCAGTCTCTGGTGTGCCACAAGCACGTTTCACAAACTTTCTGAGCTCATTGGGAAATTTAAGAGCTGGACTCCATGATCCCAGTGATTCTGTGTCATCCTTGGTCTTTAGCAATCTTCCCAGCCTTCAGAACACAGAGAAGAAATTGTCCTTATTCTTCAAGTACTGGTTAAAATGGCCTTTGTTTGGGGAAATTTTTCTTGCTTTCCCAGACTAAATTAGGTCTTCTTGTTATATGCTTTCATAGCTCCCTGCTCGCTCTTCTATCACTTTTCATGATTTATATTACATTTTTCCTTGAACAATCACTTAATTATCGTTTGTCCTTGTTGGACTGTGGTAACCACGAGGGCAGAGACTGTATATCTTTTAGTTCAATAGTCCATGCCTGGCGCTCTGCGCCATTTCTCATACACAGCAGGAATTCAATCAATACTTATTAAATGAACAGCAATTGAGTTTTTATATCTTTTGGTACAATAGCATAACAGGAACTAGATTTGCCATCTGCCCTTAAACACGTAGAAAACTGGACAAAGTATAGAAAACAACAATTTTTGACCCTGGGCAATGGCCGGCACAGGCAGGGATTCCTAACAGAAGGGAAACCAGTGCCCTGGCTCACTGCCTCCCAGGGTAGGACCCAGTCAGGGGCTGAGGTCTTGAACTGTGGACTGAATTGTTTGCCTCTCACCCATTCATACAGTGTCGTCCTATCCTAATCCCCAAGAAAACAGTAGTGGGAGAGGATTAAATCATGAGGGCAGCACCTCAGGGATGGGATAGTGGTTTCATCAAATAGGCCCCCAGGAGCTTGTTTATAACCTTTAGCCATGTGAACACACAGGGAAAAGGCACAATTTATAAGCCAGAGTGTCTCACCAGACTCCGTGTCTGCTGGTGCTTGAGTTTGGACTTCTAGTCCTTCTAGAGTCTAGTGCTTCTTGTACTATGAGATCTAAAATCTTGTTTTATGTAAGTTTCCAGACTCTGGTGTTTCGTTATGGCAGTTCCTACAGATTAAGATTGAGAAAGAGTACAAGAAGACTGGAGAGGAGGAGAGGGCTCCTTCAAGTCTTTGGCTGAAAATAAATTTCTGTGTTGGTGAGGGAGCTACTGAGGCTGAGAACTGCTGGAGAGATGCAGGAGAATCAATTCTCAGAGCTCTTGCTGGGCCTGGAACCTCTGTGTTTTCACTAACCAGCGTGGAACTTTCCTAATGTGGGGGCACAGGTGGAGTCCTCAGAGGGTGTTGCCTCAGTAGTCAAATTATGTATAGAATGAAAGCTATTCTGGGTGCACTGTAAAAAAGCTTAAAAAGTAAGCTTCAAAATGATCAAATGATTCCAAGTGATCATTCCAAAATGATAAAATGATTCTAGCACTCCAGAAAAACAACAAGCAAAAATACCCAAACCCAACCGATGAATCAACCAACCAACCAACTAACTAACCACATGAAGGAATATAAAAGCTAACAATAACAAAATAATTCAAGCAAAGCTTAGGCACATAGTAGAATAGCATTTCTGAAGTCCAGGACTTGTCAGGAAATTTCATTCATGCAAAGTATAGGGAGGTACAAGAGAAACATCATACAGTAAAAAGAGACTCAGAAATGACATGAATGATAGAAGACAAAGATGCTAAAAGAGCATTGATAAATACTCTCCATATGTTGCCTAAAATAACTATAATAAATATATTCCATAACTTTAAGAAAGGAGAAGAAAGTATAAATATAGAACATCATGGATAGTATTAACAGCAGATTTGATACTGCCTAAAAAAGGCATGTGTGTTCAAAAATATTATAACAGGAACCACTCTAAATATAAACCAGATTGGGAAAATGAAAAAAATGGCAGAAGAATAGAGCAAGAGATCTTAGAATGGCAGAGGAGGGCTTCGTGGGTGGGTTGGAGGGTACTTGGGGAAGGGATCAGGAGAGAGAAAACATGATTGAAGAAATAATGGCCAAAATTTTTCCAAATTTGATGAAAAGTATAGAGATACAGTTTAATGAGATTCAACACACTTGTATTTTCTGCTACCATAACAAGATACCCAAGAGTGGGTCATTTATAAAGAAGTTCATGTAACTCAAGGTTCTGGAGACTGGAAAGTCCAAGAGTACAGTGCCAGCATCTGTGTGTCCTTGATGAGGACCTTTTTGCTGTCTTAAAGTATGGTGGCAGGCTTTGCATCTAACAGAGCAAGCATGCTAGTTTGGATCTCTTTGATTCTAGAAAGCCACAGTCCATCACAGGGAACCCATTCTTGGAACCCATGGATTCACTTGTCAGAAGTCCCACTTCCAAATACATTTAACAAGTGTACTTGAGGATTAAAATTCCAATGCATGACCTTTTAGAGGACACATTCAAACCAGCTTAATACCTCAAGTAGAAATCCTTGTCTCCTTCAATAATGAAAGTTACTGTGGCCTGTTTAAAACATTAGAACCTTCCAAGTGAGAACTCACAGATGTTTGAACATTTCTTCTAATTGTGGTTAAACATATGCTGGGCAGTTAGTTAGATACATGAAATGGGCACCTGAAATGTGGCTAGTACAATAGAAGAAATTCATTTTATTTTGGTTAATTTAAATTTAAAAAACAATAATTTGATAAACAATATTTTTGAACATGGATATGCAAATTGACTGTTTCAACTGTAAAACTTATGAAGTCTAGATATCTATCATGTATTTTTGGTAGAAATTTGCATCTGATTTGAGATGTTTCTAAGTGTAAAATACACACTGGCTTTCAAAGACTTTGTATATATAAATAATGTAAAATATCTCAGTAATTTTATATTGATTACATGTTGAAATATTAGATGTACAGGGTTAAATAAAATGTGTTAAATATAATTATTTCTACTTTTAAAATCTGTGGTTACTATGAAATTTAAAATTACATATGACCTTGTATTTTTTCTGGCTAACTCTGGGTAAGGCCAACTGCCTACTGTCAGTAAGTATGCAGATAATGTGTGAACTGGAATAAAAAAAAAGTATTTTGAAGTAAATAATAATGTGACCTCCATGCTGACAATAAACATGAAACTAGAGAACAGTTGTAAGGGTAGAACATTCTTAAATTGAAAAATACTGAAAAGAACAAAGAAATTTACTGAACGTCTAGTTTTCTCCTGCAAAGCATCCTGTGTGCAGAAAAAATCTTGTGAGATGTTATCAAATGTGCCTGCTGAAGATTAACTCTATAAATTTACCTAATGCCTCATGTTGGCTCTTGCTTTCACCAGCCTGAATAATTTGTTAGTGCCATGTGCTGCTATGTAAGATGCCTGCCAATTTTTGGTTGTTATTTTGGTTTTGTATGAAACACATTCAAGGTAACTTGAGAGATAGACTTGGAGTTTTATTGGAATAGTAATCAGAATAGAAAGAAATGCTTAAAATGGAAATCTAAGAAAGTTTGTAACACATAAAGGCAACAGACAGAGCTAAGAAAGTCATTCTTCTGAGTGACCAATTGTAGGGAAAAGAAATCTACCACTGTTTTGGGCAGTTGCTATTCTCAAGTCAAATTCCAGTGCCAGGAAATTTGACTGACCAAGTTTAGGTCATGTCGCTACCTGTGGGACAGTCCTGCGGAAGCAAATAAACAGAGAAGCAGGAAGGTAAATTCATTAGTCAAGGTGATCCCACCTGAAGAGGAGGGCATGGATGCTGATCACCAAAACACACAACCTAAAGTGACTGATACACATTCAACATCTAGGGGTAATTCAGTCTTGACTTCAACACGTTTGCATTCCTGGCAGACACAACCTAAGAGCTGACTTACTCAGTAAAAATTGGAGTAGGAAACAGTTCCTACACCCCAGTGGTATGTGTCTAACTGAAGAAATTGGATAATTTGCTAAAGTTAGCAAACCTAGAAAAAAGAAAAGAAAATGCTAAAAGAAGTAGGACTAATAAGGGTCTCTTTGTACCATTACATTACAGCCCCCAAATAAGTTGATGGAATGTTAGTCAATTTCTAGTTCATCTCTCCACTTCCTTTCTTCTATCTCCCTAATTTAAGACAGACATTCACGTTTCTGTGGAAGAAAGTATTTCTATGTAAAATCTTGCTCTAACTTTCAGTTCACTTTGCATCATTTGCATCTTGGCTTACAAGAAGTTTTATTGCACTATATGCAATTTGAGTTATATACTAAAAGAGTACACACAGGACAAAGTAATATAGGTGTTATTTAGAAGAGAGATGCATTGAGCAGAGAGGAATGCTCTGATTACGAATTATTTTCTTGAACATGTCCAATTTTATTCAATTTTATTTCAGGACAAGATTATAGTTGTTCTATTTTTGTTACTAGTTCTTATTGTTAATCTAGTATTGCACCAAAACATAAATTCAACTTTGTAGCAATGTGTGTGTAAAGAAAAAAAGTGTACATCAGGCTTGCTTCTATTCATCATTTCAGGCATCGTCTGGTTATCTTAGAAATACTCTGTGCAGATAAACAGGACTACTCTAAACTGTGTGTAATGTGTGCATGTTAAAGATAGATTGTATATGCTCTGTGTTAACCAAATTGAGGTATACTTAAAAGTCTGCACACTTTTAAAAAAGTCTGATCCTTTTTGCCTTCTTTAATCTCTTGTATTTCCCAAATCCTGTCTCTTTCTTTTCTTCTTGTGTTATAAATGTGAATCTTTCTTAGAGTTTTCAGGATTTGGTTATTTCTCTCTGTTTACTATCCATACTTCTGTTTCAAATTGTAGGCTTTTTTTGGGAAAAAATGATTATACATAATGGAAATACAGAATTTCAAAACAAGATAATTGGAGATTAATGATGGTTAAATATTGTGTATTGTTATCTTCAAAGTAGTCACTCAGGTTATAAAGATATAAGAAATTGAACAATGATACCATTTTTTCAATGAACTAATGATAGAATACATACATATGATATATATAATATATATGATAGAATATATAACATTAGAATATGTATGATAGGATATATATCACACATCATATATATTATATATATTCTTTTCCCTTCACTTTTCTTGTTTCCCTCATTCTAGTTGTTCTTTCCTTTTCAGTGGTTTCTTTTCCTTTCACAATATCTGTTGTACACTCTGAATCTTGTTTAAGTGGTTTTTCTCACAAGTTCTGGTATGTTCTATGTGCATTTTCATTTGATTTTAGATATTAATTTTTTAATTTCATCTGTGACACATTAGTTGTTTAAAAGGGTGTTACTTAGTTTTTATGTGTTTATGGAGTATGTGTGGTTTCTTTTGCCATTAATTTACAATTTCATTGCACTATGACCACATAATATGCATGGGATAATTTTAATTCTTTTGCATTTACTTACACATTCCCTGTGGGCTAGTATATGGTCTATTTTAGGGAACATCCCATGACAGCTGAGAAGGATATGGATTCTGATTTTGTTGGGTGGAACACTATAAATGTATACTAAGTCCATTTATTCACATAATTGGTTTAGTTCTGTTATGTGTTTCCTGATTTTGGGGGGGGTTAATTGGGGAATCAAACTCACAACTTCATGCTTGCCAGGTGAGTGCTTACACCGCTGAGCTAAATCCCCGGCCCTGATTGCTGATTTTTTGTCTTGTTGATCTATCTCTTTGTGATAATGGGGTGTTAAGATCTCTCCATTACATCGATGTTATTGCTTGTTTGTTTTCATGTCTATTAATATTTGTCTATTGATATAGTTGGGTGCTTCTGTATTTGGTGCATATATATTTATAATTGTTATCTCTTCCTCTTGAATTTTTCACCTAGCAAGTATGTTAGGGGAAAAATTATTTGTGTTTTTTAAATAACTTTTGGTTTGAAGTTCACATTGTCTGCCAACAGGATAGTTACCCCTGCTTTTTTCTGGGTTCTTGTTCCATGAAATATTGCTTTCTATCCTTTGACTTTCAATCTATGAGTTTCTTCCTGAGTTAAATGTGTTTCTTGTGCACAGCATATTGGTGGTTCTTTTTTCTTGATCTGCTCTGCCAATCCATTTCTTTTGATAGGTGAATTGAGACTATTTACATTAGGGCTGGAGATTTAGCTCATCCATGTGACTGCCTCCTTGGCAAATGCAAGGTTGTGAGTTCAATCCCTGGTACAAAAAAAAAAAAAAAAAAAAAAAAAAAAAAAGAGAGAGAGAGAGAGAGACTATTTACATTGATGGTTATAACTGATATGTATTGGCTTATCTTTTCAAGTTATTTTCATGTTGTTGGTTTCTTGCTTTTCCCTTTGTTTATTTGTTTGCTCTGGCTGATGGTTTATTTCTGATGTTGTTCTTGGAATTTTGAGCTTTTAAAAAATTTCTAGAATATCTTTCAGTACTCTTTTTTTGTGTTGGATTTTTGGTCAAGAATTTCTTCTATTGTTCTTTGTCATGAAGGTATCTTATTTCTCCATTAATTTTTAAAGATAATTTTGTAGGGTACATTAGCCTGGGTTGGAGGTTGTCTTTTTTCATGACTTGAAAGACTTTAAGCTCTTCTTATCTTGAGGGTTTGTGTTGAGAAGTCTGGTGCACTTCTGATGTGCTTTCCTTTATAGGTGATCTGTTTCTTTTCTGTAACAACTTGTGATATTCTGTTTTTGTGTTGAATTTCTGGAATCTTGATTATTATATGTCTGGGTGTAGATTTATTTTGGTTATGTCTGTTTGGAGTTCTGTACATCTCATATATATGTCAGATTCTGTCCCCCTTGCTTGGGAAATTTTCTGCTATTACTTCTGCAAATTGTGTGTGTGTGTGTGTGTGTGTGTGTGTGTGATTTGTGTTAGTCTTATATTTTCAGCTTATATTTTCACCTATTACTCTTATATTATTGACAAGTCCTGTATTCTTCCTGGCTGACTAGCCTAGCAGTACTGATGCGAACCAGCTGCTGGCACATATTGTTCCTCTTGCTTCAGTCTTCTTTCCAGGCTGCAAGACCTATCTGTCTATTGTGTATGCCCTATGCAAGGCCCTAATGTGTCACTTGGGATCTTGTAGGCCTGGCATGGTTCCTTGGATGGAAGGTGGGCTCACCCACAGGATCATAGGTCCAATGTGGTTCTCTTAAATTATACCTTTAACTATCAATTCTATGGGAATGACTAATAGACTAACAGTTAACATGTAAATTTATTTACAAATAAACAGTAAATACTTATACACTGAGATCTGATCTAAGTATACAAATTAAAGTTCAATAAAACATGGTCTCCATCATTGTGTGTATCTGTAGTCTGACCTCTATGCCAAGTTCTAGTCCTTTAGAAGTTAGAGGTTTCCTTTATTGTTCTTGTTGCCTTCTCAGTATAGATTTCTTTGTCATAAAATAGTTATGTACAATCTGTGGTTGGTAAGTCATTTATTCTTGTAAGATATGTTATAAAAATACTGAAAATGAAAGAATTCTTATTTGCTTTAAATATATTGCAGATATTATATGTGGCCTAAGACAGTTCTTCACTCATTATGGCCCAAGCAAAAGCAAAGACTGAATGCCCATATCTTAGAGTTTATTTTGTATGATATCAGTATAGCTACTGAAATAGTCTTTTGTTACAATTTCTTTTTCCCCATTTTTCCTCTCAATTCATCACTCTACTTGAATCTAAAAATCTCTTGTAGATGACATTTAATTGGTTGATGTTTTTTCCTCTATAATAATGTCAATCTCTGCCTTATAAATGGAGAACTTAATCCACTTTTATTTAGTGTGATTATCATGTCCTCCATTTTGCTTTGTTTTCTATATCTTTTCACCATTGGTGTTAAAAGTTAGCTTTCATTCTTGTGATACTAACAGGTGGGGCTTTTGGAAAGTGATTAAGTCTTTGGGGCTCTCTTTCATTGTTTGAAGAATATTTGTGCTAGGTATAAAGTTTTTGGTTGACTATTTCTTCTTTCTGTATTTTGAATATGTTGTTGCACTAGCTTGTGATCTGTGTTCTTTCTGATGAGAAAAGACCATTAGTTTTTATTAAGAATCTCTTGCCTCCTTTTCTTTTTTTGCTTCTTTTCAAATTCTTTGCATTGGTTGTTTTTTCCTT